TGCCAGGAGTCAATTCTTGAGATTGTTGAACGGTACCATATCAATGCCGACCCGGAAAACAAATCTACCGCAGATTCAAATAAATCCTCCTCACTCAACCCACGAGCTCTTCTAAGTTCCTCTACTCTTTCTAGAAACGCACCTACGCTCTGACCTGATTCATTGTCAAACTTTAACCCCCATTTAAATACAGGTACTGTCTTGGATAAACGTGCTGGTTTGTCCTTGAGATGTTTTTCTTGACTGTTCTGAAAGTTGGATCTACCTAAGGGCTTAGTTTCACTACGATTCTCCAGTTCTTCAGTTTTTGTATTATCTGTAGTTTTTAAGTCACCACACATTGGGGTAGCAATTTCATCTGGTTTATTCTCCGGACCGGGCACTTGTTTCATGGGATCTGAAGGGCCTTGGCCTTCTGTGTTTGGTTTCGTTGTTTTGTTTGACAATTCATCGACAAATTCCTTAATATCCTTCAGTAGCTCTTCTTTCCTAGAGGTTTCTTCTTTGTTGTCTTCGCTGTCTTCATCGATAGGAATCCTGCTGACTCGTTGTAGAAGATGACTAAGTCGAGTTGAAATTCTAAGATATTCTGCTTCGTTTGGTAGGTCTTCATAGTACGCCTTAACTAAAGATTTCAAGTCTGAAAACTTATCTTCACAGCAATCCAGTTCATTTTCTGTTACCAAACTCGCAACCACTTTTTCTTCAATGGGAGTACCAGCATTAAGGGCGTGTGTGAGTCGCTTACGCAATTCATTTGCATCCCCATCACCTGAGATACCTCTTATCTTCAGTTCATAGGAAACCTCCTCCTTACGTAACCTATATGCGTTAATTTTATCCATTCTTAGGCCTAATCAATAATAAGCCAAACATGCACAAGAGATCCTTAAATTCAAGTATCCTTAAAAATATTGCCAATAGGCCTTAAAATATGCAGTAGAAAATATCCAAGATCAATATTCTCCTACAGAAGGTTCAATAGTCCAAAGGGCCCCACGTTCTGGACGCCAATTTGTAACCTCCCAAAGGGAGTTACATGAATTGCCAAGTCAGTCGGTTTGGGTCGAGGGTGTTGCCTAATTGTATTTTCAGTCTTGTATTCAGTTCACCTTGTAGTCACAGGGCGCCACCTCATTTGCCTTAGGGTAGGGGGGAGTTCCATTAATGAGGAAAGGGAATTCCTAGCGGGTTGGACGGTTGCCTGGTATTTAGGTGACCGAAAGGTGAGCCTGATTACGAAAGACGCGAATACGACAAAAGAACAAGTTTTACGTGACCAAAATGAACACACCTTACAATCTAAAATTACTAAAATGTACCCTAACCTCAAGATCTAGAGGTAACTGTGAGCGTAAAAACCTAAAATTCTGTTAGGCCTACCTAGGTGTGTGGATACTGATCCATGTTATCAAGGGGAAATGCATGACTTAAAACTAGAATGGGAATCAATAATTCAATACAAATACAAGTTACAAAATACAAGTTTACTAGAGAAAAATTCAACTATTGACAATACAAGGAATTGAAATGTGGTTCAAAATTTACGAACTCAATTAATATCAGTACAAAAGGCAGAAACAATTCCTTAACCAAAAAAATATTCTCAAGTACCGAGTGGTTCAAAACATGGACAATAATAACAAGAAAAGACCCTTCAATGTAACAAGAAACAATTTACTAAATTTACTAATCTCAAATATTCGAAAACATGAAACAAATTTAAGTTGCTGAGTATTAAATCTCAAAAATATTGGAACATGAAACAAACGATTTAAATAAACACTGACAAGTTAACAAATTAGAATGTGGGATTTAAACAGGTTACTATTTACATACACTAGGCCTAACCAGAACCTAACACATTCCTACAGTAAATTAAATGATTAAATTTCAGACAATATTTTCATGAATTTAGGTGGCCACCTGGAATAAACACAATATAATACACAATGAAACAATGATACAAATAAATATAAATATTACGATGAATGTTGCTTAACCTACGTTGCTTCTTCAGAAACGGAGCGTCCAACCTAACCTAACCTAACACTCCACAAAACGGGCAGGGTGCACTCAGTCTTCTGTTCTGTTGATAATGGGACGGCTCAAATTGAAACAGAAAAGATTTTGCCTGCACACAGTAAGTTAACTTAGGCCTAGGACTTATCGTTTTCACATCCAGTCGAATCTCGGGCCCAGAGTCTCCATGGCGATAGGGTCGGATCGTCCAACGGTTGGTAGGGTAGACTTCAGTGGCCAGTTACAGTGACACTGCAGCGGCGATGAGGTCGTCAATAGGCAGATCTTGGAAGTCCAATAACGTCTCTGGTCCGTAACTGCTCTCTCTGATCCGTAACTGCTCTCTCTGATCCGTAACTGCTCCCTGTACAACCCAAAGGGAATAGAATGTTGCAATGGTAAGATATGTGGGTTTAAGTAGCACTAAATGTTTGTTCTATGAGGTCAACCACAGGAGTTCTAATAGTTCAGTCTTAGAATGGTTTAACACGATGCACTGCACTACCTAGGCCTAACTTCTGTGAACAGGCAATAGTTCAGTCACTCAAAAGGCAAAATTAGCCGGGTACCAAGGTTGGAGTGTCAATAATTATATTGTTCATTCACTCCGAAACGGAGATAGCGAAACAGTCTTGTAATTGCGCACTTCAATGGGGTGAGCAAGCTAGTAAGCATCTTGGTTAGGTTAGGCACTTTCAACTGAATTTTTACATCATAAATCAAAGAAATAGTAATAAATAACCATAAGATTGGCTAGAGCTAATTTATTTTACATTTTTTTTCTATTTTTTTTTTTCAAGTGTCCACAAAAGTTACGGTACTAGGCCTAAGCCAAATTCCAGCCCACAAAATTCAAAATTGAATTTAAAACTTCCTTTAAATCAAACATTTCTGTAATCCACTATCAAAATAACTATACCTGTAACCTATGGTTGTAATAAAATAACCTAAACTAATAAGGTCCAACCATGTGCTCAACTTGCCATGATTCTGCAGGCAACCATATCCTAAAACATCTTAGTTTAACACAAAAATCAATTTTTAATTTGACAGAAATTCAACAAAAATACTAAAACAGGACATTTATTTACATACAAAAAGTTTGTTAGGCCTTAACCTCACTACTTCGTCTTTGAATCCAAAATATGTTAAGATTGCGACATGTCAAAACCAAACTTGATAGTCAACGACTAGTCTCTTTTTTCCAACTATTCTTGCTTAAAACACATAATAAAGAATTTAACTAAGTTTATCCCTCTGTAGGAACACCAAACAAATACATAATTTGAAAGGCTAAGTATCAGAAATTTACAAAATTACACTTTAGGCTTGGACAAACTTTTCCCTGACATGTCCATTTTGGTTTTCTCGTGCCGAGTGTTTCGACAATTTCAATAATCAAAATGAATTGAACCTAAACACAAACGTTGACATTACACAGAAAGACAAAATACAATAAAAGGACAAATAATTTAACTAACTTAAATTCAGACTCACCCCGATCACATAAATCCCAGGCTAGGGTTCGGGGACAGTTGTTGAGAATCTTGGAGGACAAGAAAAGGATGAAGTATCATGGCCGTCGTCTCAGAGAAGAAGGACGAAAGGATTCACTTCCAAAACCAAGGAACAAGGGGGGGGGGAAACTGAGTCCAGTTGGTGTAGATCCGGAGTCAACTCTTCTTTTATTTTGGGTATTTTTTTTGGTCTCAAACGGCAGGCAGCATAGCGCGCTTATGCAGCTTATAAACATAGCTGAGTTGATCAGTCTCAGCATTGTTGAGAGGATTGAATAAAAAGGAGAATCCACTTCGGAACGTTACAATACATACTCAGCATGCGAGCAAAAACTTACTGGCCGAAGCGTATCAGCTGTCAAAGGCAATAGAACTAAAAAGAACAAGCAGCCCTAACTCGCTCTTGTTATTCACTCGCCTGCCACCTGCCTAGACCTATATGGAAGACAGCTCCACTGCAAATTAATCATAAGTAGTATTTTAATATTAATAGTTAAATCATCAGGTGAACCAAATAGTAGTTATGAAATAGTTTAAGTAGTTAGTGAAATAGTTTTAGTTAAGGGTTGCCGGGAGAAACCAGGGGTTTTAGGATGTAGTTTTACAATTTAATATGTCGGTTTCTTCTTAATAGGAACCGGCATTCAGCTTGTTGAAACAATGTCACAAATTCACATGGTTCTAAATGGTTCAATTATTCTCTGCTGTCAATCCGTAATTTATTTATTACGGTAATTTATTCCCAAATTACTTTACTTCAATCAAGGTTTCATATCCCACAGTTAGTTAATTAATTAGTTATTCATGTCAACGCAATTCTTACATTTTCAGGTAGTGGTTTAGTTATTAGATTTTCATGTTATAAAATTAGTAAATCAAAATCACAGCGCATCAAAAGCTGGCTCAGGGTGTTTATGGCAATGTACACAATCAACCTCAGGGTAAAATCTTTCCTTTAAAATAGAGACAATTACAGCCCTTTTCTAATTCCTCAACCTTTTAGATAATTCATTATATATTTCCATGTCCCAGCCCTCGCCTATTCATACCACTCTTCCATTATTCCACAGGCACACCCCACCAGTTTCAATCAGTAACAACCAGTCACAAACTCCATCAATTGTTACAAATTGGCACAATCGCCACACTACAATGGGAAAAGTTTATTTGTGGTGAGTAGTAGTTACTAATGAACTCGTAGACAATTAAAAAATTAGGTGAAGAAAACTAGAAGGATGTACACAATGATGCCTTTAATGTAATTGAAAACTTTAATGGCGCAGTAAATACCACTAAATAACCACTATCCACTAGCAGTAAATTTTCTCACCTCCTTTTACAATGCTTCATCTCAGCGAAGAAGATATGTAAAACAATGATTATTTTTCTGCCAAACGACTGCAACATCTAAATTTCCATTGGTACAATGCTGTTATTTTTTTAAGTAGGCACAGTTCTAACCTGTGGGGATCACTAGATGGGGCATCCTCAACAAGTGTGTTGCACCGGAAGGAGGCGGACCTGCGGTTAAGCTCTCGGTGGGAGAGGGGGTTGCCCCGCTCCTGGGGGGTAGGGAGAGGGGGGCTCCCAGCAGTGCTACCACTACCCTCACCCTCTGGCTGAGGGTCCTCACTGGTGAGACAGTTGGCAACCATGATGGCCCTGATTGAGGAGGCGTTGGTGTTGTAAAACCGAAACAGCTGACTCAGAATGGGCGTGTGTTCAGACGCCGTCTCCTGTTGTGAACAAATATTTACATAGTTGTGAGTCATATAAAATTACGAGGATGTAACAAAAGATGTACACAAAATTGTACGAGGGTTCCGATGTTCCAGTTCGCAGCCAAGTGAAATAGTTCAAATCTGAAACCTGCACTATTTTTTATTTTTTTTATTTTCCTAACTTGGTACTATTTTAGCCGGTTCCAACCCCTATGTGAAGATTTATCTCCTTGTAGAAGCCAATAACAATATTGGGTTGAATCGGCACTCCAGCCAGTTTAGGATTGTGTTGTATAAATAAGTTTCTACGGGAAGAGGGTCAAATGATATTGAAATTCATTGCCAGTTGATATAGTAAAAAGTATATAGACATAAAAAGTTAGTAATAAAGTAAATACGGTGCTGATGTCAAAATCTAACTAACTTGCTTGGCTGCAACTATAGCTAGCTGTAACCTTAAGTTATGAAATTCTCTTACATAATAGGTTAAACAGTTTTTTTTTTATTATATAAATCATTGTTAACCTATATATGCTAAACACTTTCAAACCCCAACAATTTTAGAATTTTTACAATCCGTCCGTGTTTTTACAAGACGTCTGTAAAGATTTCACAGTAAAAACATAGCGAGAGATAAGACAACATTTCTTGTATGACCTGAGAAGCTTTGTTCAGCCAAAGTCCAGTAGTGCTGACCAGATGAGCCAGCCAGTACAGGTCCCCAGACAGCAGGTGTTGGTCACTGTACCATGTGCCGAATATGTCGTAGGGCTTGTTGACCACCCTGCATTGCAGTTGGAAGCCATCTGTAATGGAAGGATGTTTAGTTTCAAGGTTAGTATCTATTGACCTGAAATGTTCTTAGCTGTTTTTTTGAGGCTGGACCATCAGTAATAATAAGGGGTCTAGGTGAGACTGGCTAAGCCTTTGTTTCCAAGATTATCATCAAGTTTGACAACGGTTGACAGGGGATGCAACATGGATTTCCAATGCACTCAAGTGTACAAACAACTAAGTAGACGGTTCAAGAGTTTTAGAGGTGTTATTTATTAGGCCAGATTAGGTTTGTACCCGTACTCTAAATAACAATTAAGAATAGTATATTCCTAAAATGTGTTGCGATTTTTAGTTAGTCATGTTGCAATTCAAACCATTTTTTGCATGCTGCAGTTTTGTACGTGTATCTTGAATTTACCTGCTTTAAAATGGAAATTAGTGCAGGCACCGCAAAAATATTGGTAACGAGAACAGCGTTTCCTTACAAAAAGATGTTAAAAATGCCAATGGCAATGAAACACAAATAAAAATCTATCTGAGCATTACCTGTTAGTGAGAAGACAGCTATTTCTCCCGAGGTACTGTTAGGCGTGCCGAAGTGTACACCCGACACCAGAAGTAGTGTGTCGGACTGGTTGAACTGTGAGAACTGAGTGTACTTCCAGCTGAAGTTCTTCATGTCATGACTGTACCTCTCTGAAGCAGGGTAGTCAGAGTTCCAAACCTGTGAATTAGTACCACCATGATAAAGTAGCTGATCACTCTGATATTACTCTGACTTTATATGAACCTCATCTTATTTTGTGTGTATCAAATCAAATATTTAATTATTATTAAATCACAAACAAATAATTAATTTCAGCTTTTAATAAAGTGGTCCAAAATTGATTAGGCCTAACAAACATTTTTCCACAAACAATTAGTTTTATTTTATTTTGATGTTATTTAATAATAATGATTATATATATATATATATATATATATATATATATATATAAAACACAATAGATTTTTTCAGTTATAGTAATGAATTGGCTTACTTAAAAAAAATGCTTAAATAGAATAGACCCACCCCTACAATATAGTTTTACTTTTAACAATCATAGATTATAATTTGTGAGTCAAGGTAGCCTATGTGCACCTGCATGAAATTCTGTTAATAGTCAGTATTTAAATTTTGTGTTAAGCTTAAAAGTGTTAGGACCTATTTGAAAGAAACAAACATTGCAATGTGAGAAGAAAAACATATTTTTCCTTTAGGCCTACTGATAATGACATAATGGCATATTTATTCTGTATTTAAATAACATAGTAACGAGTACCGGCCGTACCTAGGTTTACTGCTAAAGGGAAGGTAATAAATTGGTTTTATAGTTAAATGTTAATAGTATAATCAATCTTTATTTACACGGTGGAAAAAAAGTACCGGGAAGGTTAAATATTTCGAAAAGTAATATACTGTAGGTAAAAATACCCCCGCCGCAGCAAACCTGCAGACTAAGCGAATTTCCATTTGACTGATTGGATTTACACTGAAATATCTACTTAAAAATATAACATTTATTCTTGATTTAAATAGAATTAGTTTAACAAGTATTTAGGTTTGCTGCATCAGGGAGGGTAAAACTGTTTTTTTTTAAATTTGAATAGTTTCGTAAGAAATAAAAACATTTTCCAAATTTGATCAAAATATGTTCACAAACAAGCAAACTACAACAGTTTACTTATTCTCCATAAGAATAACATGGGAATTTTAAATTTACAATTTTTTTGAATTTTCTCCGTAACAATTAGGCGCATAATAACGCTTCAATATACTAAGTTATTTGTTTTTTTAAGCTCTACAAAATGGTTTGGAAAGAAATTGCTAAATTTTATGTTTTTTGGGTCAAAAATGGGAAAAAACCTATTTTTACCCCATAAAACCCCCCGTAAACCCCCGTTCCTATGGTCCGATCATGCTGGATCGCGAACTCGTTTGAATAAACGTACGTTTACACGTTTGTACCAAATTTCATCAAAATCGGATCATTTTTGCTCGAGTTATCGTGCTGACGGACACATATATATATATATATATATCTAATATATAAAATTCTCGTGTCACAGTGTTTGTCTGCAAACTCCTCCGGAACGACTTCACCGATCGTTATGAAATTTGGTGTGTAAATTCTGTAGGTATGCGAATAGGAAGTAAACTATTTCCCGTTTCGAAATTCTTAAAAGGGCTCCGCCCCAGTGGCTCTGGAGTTTCCCATGTTAACCTTATGAGAAATGGAATTAATGAATCTTAACAGCTGTTTCAATTAAATAGCATTAAAGTTACAAGGATTACCAACAGGGTGCAGCACTATTATTTCTTTTACATTTATGACAACAGCTAATTTGCAACCAAAAGGTGAGTGAGCGTAGCGAACGAACTTCAACCTGGAGGCGAGTGAGCGTAGCGAACGACCTAACCTGAAGGCAAGTGAGCGCAGCGAACGAGCTCCAACCTAAAGGTGAGTGAGCGTAGCGAAAGAGCTCCAACCCAAAGGTGAGTGAGCGTAGCGAACGAACTTCAACCAGGACGTGATTGAGCGATGCGAACGAGATCATCTTGAAAATTAAACGTAACGGTACTTTCTTTCCATCGGTCTGTCTTAGGGGAAACCTATAACTTAGGCGATACGAAGTTCGCTGGGTCAGCTAGTATAAATATATAAATATATATATATATATATATGAATTTGAACGGATGGTGTTTTTGGCCTCTAGGGACCTCAAAACGAAAAAAAAAAATCGGTCCCGCGTCCAGGTCTTACCATGAGTACTACGGTAATAGCTTATTCCCTATATGGGAAATTCGCTAATATTCCCTATATGGGAAATTCGCTAAAAAGTAATCATTTATGACTCGGTTGTCCGTTTGAGTTCAGGTTTGCGGCATTGTATTTTACTAACAAAGACCTTTAAGTAATTTGATGTGCATATAAACCTATGCTTACATTTAATATTTTTTTCTGACTCCTAACGGGGCCGTTCCCCTGAAGAGGTAGGGCATCTTTGAATAATGTGATAAAATTATCTTTGCCCGGTAACTGTGCACGAAGTTATGAAGCTCTATCTGTATTACTATTTAAAATATTTAACCGTCCCAGGACTTTTTTCCACCTTGAATTATTAGTTCTATAAGCTATTTTTTTTAATCAAAACTGTGAGAGTTTGCCAGCTCGCAGGATGATGGGAGAGGGCTCAAATTAAAGTTCTTGGTCCCAGGGGGTTGGGAAAAATATCAAATTGTATTCAAATCTACCAGAAAATGGGAAATAATGAAAATTATCTTCCATTTCAAATGCATTGGGATTGATAAACGTCAGCTTTGTTTACATTAAACATGTGATTACAAAATGTATTAGGCCTATGATTTTTATTCTACGTTTAATTCCGTTGATAGTGTTTGAAGTTTGTTTACTAATCAACATTAATTTAGATAAATTCTGCTATTACTTAAGTGGTCCAAAATTTATTGATAAGGCCTAACTTACAATTTTCCACAAACAATTAAATAGGTACATTTTCTAAATTTGATCAAATTATATTTTATAAACAAGCAAACTACAAGAGTTTACTAAATCTCCATAAGAATAGGTAACACGGGAGTTTTAAATTTACAGTTTTTTTTTTTAATTTTCTCCTTAAAGATTAGGCGCATGATAACGCTTCAATATACTAAATCATTTGTTTTTTTTAGCTTTACAAGATGGTTTAGAAAGAAATTGCCAAATTTAAGTTTTTAGGGTTAAAATGGGAAATCTCATAAAACCCCTAATAAACTTCTGTTATAATACATTTAATACTTTTCATTGAAACGGCGTTCCCATTGTCCAATCATGCTAGTTCACAAACTCATTAAATAAATGTAAGTTTATACAAAATTTCTTAAAATTGGATCATTTTTGTTCGACAAAAAAGTTAATCGGTCCTGGGTCCAGGTCTTACCATGAGACCTACGATAATAGCTTATTCCCGGTGTGGGAAATTCGCTAAAAATAAGATTCATAATCAATATGAATTTAAATGAAAACCAATCTGCGCAAATCTATAGGTGCACATGACTAGATTTGCAATATTAATTCAAACGGTAAACATTTTTAAAACACTTACAATTATGAATCCGTCTTTGGATGACGTAGCAAACATTGTTCCATTGTGTGCAAAACTGACGTGCAATACTTGGTGAGCATGTTCCTTCAGCACTTCTGAGCACACCGTGGGTGTGTGATAGCACAGCCTCTTGTACTCTTCCTGCCAAGATGTCTTGCCTGTAAAGAATATAAATGGGAATGTCAGTTTTTTACTTTTTTTGTCCTATAAAACCATATTAAAAAGAAAAACTTTATATTCTAATTGGTTTTATTAAACCTATTCCTAATTTTTACTTACTTAGACCGGACACCATATGTAGTTGTAGTGTACCGGTACTTGAAAGGTTACATGAGTTAAGTTAGTAGTTAGTAGTTTAGTTTACAATTTCCTTAATGATTTCATCCTAGCAAATGAACCAATAACTGATCAAGTTAAGTCCAGGGAGTTCTCAGCAGTTCTCCTTCAGCTTCAATATTCAAGACTGTTAATTAACTAAGTCTTTCTTCAGAAGATCTGCTTCTAAAATAATTTATTGCCTTATTAAAGCATGAAAACGATCTTTCTGGTGAGCAGTTTGATATAAAAGTGAAAATTTAAAAACGTACGTTTTCATGTCCCTGGCCTTTTACTTCGTAGATACTGGATTTGTAGTTTATTATTATGTGTTTTAATATTTTTTTGGGACGGGGGCAGCATGTTACACACATTTATTTGGTTTTAAATAGGTTCTAGGTATTTTTTTCGTATTTTTAAAGTCTCGAAATTCACGACCATGACGTGTCCCTAGGGTACATTTTCCAACGTTCACGCTGTTTTTAGACTAATTATTCATGCCGAAATACATAAAGCCATATTTTTATGTCATCAATAGTTATTAAACTTACAAAAAAGGAGCATATTATAATTTTATTGTCATTGCAAACTGACTACCATGACAAAATAAGTCTGTCCCTCTATTTGGCGTCACGACCATTTGGGAAAAAATTTAAACTTTGGAGCACGACAGTGGCAAGCCTGGCGTCGATTGCGTCAGTTCGTTTTAGAGAATAGTTCAGGGTGTACGTCAAGTTTGTTGTGCCGGTCGTTTTGTGTTGAAAGAAGTAGTTGCAAGATTAATAAAGGTAAGTTTGTGTTTTTTGTAATATTGGTGTGTCCATGACCGTACGTAGTCATTTGATGAAGTAGACGTGGTGTAAATTTTTGTTGATATGATATTTCAATTGCTACATTAACCTAGAAGTCCACTTTGTATCCTCGAACATGAGATGCAGGGCTACCGCCAGAACAGAGCCAAATAACACTTAATGTCACTACCAAAGTTTCACGACCATCGCGGGTTTTTTCACGACCAATCCAGCCTTATGGATTATACTGTACTGTGTTTGGTAGTGACAATAACTTAAATATCATTGTAAATTGAACAGTTTAGTTTGAAAACGCATATTTTTATTATAACTGACAGTATAATTGAAGGATTTTTTTAGAAAGATTTAGATTATTCCAGACAATTCACGACCGTACCGCTTGTCCCTGACCATCACGTTTATGATTTCTATCATAAAAATTTCAAAAATTAAAATATCATCATATTTCAATGTTTTATACACAAAAGAAGCACACCTCTATAAAAACATAACGATTTTTTGGGTCTCAGGTAAGTTTTTTCGGAGTTATACAAACTAAAAAGATTGTATTGGCTTTTTAAAATTTTTTATTTTTTTCTAGAAAGACCAAATATACCAAAAGTTTAGTGAGCTGTTTATTGTATAATGGAAATAAAAGCAAATTAATTTGTAGCAAAACATAGTTATAAAAATAATATTAACTATATTTTTTATATTCAGTTTTATGTCCATGATGGTCGTGACAAAATTTCGTGTTTTTCCATCAAAGATGCTCTATTAATAAAAAATCACCAAAGATATTGCCTTACCATGGACATTTTATGAAACTTAAAATGTCAATGAAATAAAAAAAAGTTTCAAAAAACGGAACAAAAAATTTTAAAAGTGCTTTTCCTGAAAACGTACGTTTTTAATTTTCACTCATAAATGTGCTTGCAAAGATCCTTAATGCTATCTACATTTGGGAAAACCGATTGAAGATCTTCTCTAATTTCTTTCAAAGGCCTAGCGGAGTGATTTTGTTAGGTTTGGCTATTTGGCTTCAAGTTTGAGTTTAATCTCAGTTTTGGTTCTCATCTTAGCTATGGGGTTCTCTTTATTTTTCAAGGCTTGCCTTGTCACTTTCAATATAGGATTTAACCCTCCAGCCAACACTTAAAACCTCAATAGGCGCATGGGGTACAGTCGTACCCCATATTATATAGGCCTACCATATTATATAGCGAATTTCCCTATAGGGAAGTAGCCATTACCGTAAGTCTCATGGTGAGACCTAGGCTCGGGACCGATTTACTTTTTCATTCTGATGTCCCCAGAGGCAAAAAACACTGTGTGTGTCCTTGAACGCGATAACTTGAGTAATATTTGTACGATTTTGATAAAATTTGGTTTGAAGGTGTAAGGCAGGATAAACTTGAAAATGAGTTAGCAAACTAGTACGGCATGTTTGGAGCAGCATGGGAACGGGGTTTAACGGGGGGTTTTATGGGGTTAAAATGGGTTTTCTCATTTTTTACCCTTAAATCCAAAATTTATCAAATTTTATCCAGACATTTGATCCAGAAATTTTGACTAATGGTGAAACATACATTGTCAAACAGTCCTCGACATGTGAACTTGTAGGCAACTTGCTACTGGTACATGTTTTCATAGTTAGGCTATTAAAAAATCCATCTCCACGATAATAGCTTAAGTTCAATTATCAATTATCAATTAATTATCAATTATTTAAGATGGGGACGCCACTATGTGCGTATTTTAACCCAAATATGAGTGAAGGATGAGTGTAGGATGAGTGGCGCGATCTTGTAGTCTTGTTAGTGACTAAGGCCGACATGTTCCTTGGACACAGCTGTTAATTAATAGCCCATACAGCTAATGGCAACTAAGGGACCTACAGTTTTATAGTGGAATCCGAACCACATTTTTTCCTTGTAATTTACGAATTGGTCTAATTATCAGTATAGTACTGCGGATAGTCGTAGTAGTTAATCTCTATGTGGGAAATTCGCTAACAAGTAACAAGCAACATCTGTAGTAAACAGCCTAATACAAATATGAATACAGTAGAACTCCTCATATCCGGCCACCACGGGACCAAGTCCCTGACCGGATAACGATTTGGCCGGATAAACCAACCTACGGAAAATGACAATTCATACCTAATAATAATAGGTAATCAATATATGCAACCAAAAGTATCATTTAATTCTGTTCTGGGATCATTTTTAGAAAAATAAACATGTTTGTAAAAAGAAAAAAAGTTTTTGTAGGTTAAAGTCATTAAGTAATGAATGTACAAATATTATGATTCCAGGTAACAAAACCTATTAAATGGAGGTAAAAATGACAATAATTTGTATGTAAAGATCATTAGCACTAAAATGGTACATGCATTTCTACTCAACATTCTTAACCAATTTGTGAAATACAAAAATTAATGTACTCACACTGTACTGTACTAACCCCACTTTGGAAATAATCAACCAACTGATAAGAGGTTAGGTCTACTAGCTCAACTGAGTATAGTGACTCAGCAAATAAATGTATAAACAAACAGATAAATAATGAGAACTTTTTATTTTATGACTTGAGCAGTCACAAAGCCTAGTGCTTGCTTCTAAACGTCTGTAAGCTGTGAGAAAAAAATTGATATTGGCTTCTTGGAAGGGGCCAGATAAACAGAGGACCGGTAAAACCAAGGCCGTATATGAGGGGTTCTACTGTATGAGGAATATATTTTTACATGACAATACAGTAGGTACCGTACCTACCTAAGTTACATATTTTGGTTAAACCCAAACAAAATTAGAAGCCAGTTTCTTTGGTTAATTTTTCAAAAAGTTGTAGGCTAATACAATTTTTACAAAACAATGAATAGGTTTGGGGTAGCAGATTTTTATCCCCCTGTAATTTTACCCCCTGGGCAAACGTGACGTCACAAACCAGGGGTAAAATTCCGGCCACGAACTTTTGAGTTTCGCAACATCAGCTCGATGGATTAAACACGGAATTAAACATATATTTTCACGGTTGTTAATTTAATTAGTAGAACACATCAAATTATAAAAACCTAAAATGTACGGCCCGGATTTTTATCCCCGGAATTTTACCCCCAAAATTTTACCCCCCCAATTTTTACCCCCGGATTTTTACCCCCGGAATTTTACCCCCTGGCCAGATATATAAATAAGTTATCTATATGCTAGTTATATGGACAGGGGGTAAAATTCCGGTTTTTATCGCTAATCTAATTAATCACGCTCTGGCTATTTTCATTAGACTTCCAAATCCGCGGGGGTAAAATTCCTACATCTGCAATTAGAATTATCGGGCGAGTTCCTCGTAGAACTCCTTGTAAAAGTCTTTTTCAAACATTTTCGGTTTTAACATTTTATGATCACTATATTTTAGAAATTTCAAATTGGGTTAAAGACAATCTCTCCTCATTCATGAACCAACCCATTCATTCCCACCACACTAGATTTAAGAGTTATATTAAGCCTGAAACCCATAGATTAGAGAAATTTCATTTATCTCCCCAATATATAGGCCCACAAGTTTACAATAAGTTACCACTCCGCATAAAAAATATTGATAGTAAAACACAGTTCAGATCCACCCTGAAGACCTGGTTGAAAACAAAAAAATTTTTTCTATCGAATGTTATTTAAATAGGGACGTTAAGTTAGATTAATAATTTAGTAAGACATTTTTGTTATTTCTTAGTTTTAGTATTATCCTGTATATGACTTATGTCCTGTCAAATGATGTAATGACATGTAGTGAATAAATAAATAAAAAAAAATTCCGGCCGCGAACAAACTTTTGGCTATTCAGGTTACCACGTCATAGTGACGTCAGCTTTGCCAGGGGGTAAAATTCCAGGGGGATAAAATTCCGGCGACCCATAGGTTTACCTGGGAGAATTCCAATGCTAGGATCAATCCTGTAGTCTCTATAGAGCAGGCGCTTCCACAACATCTCATCATGAGAGACTCGGTGCCAGTGGTGGCAAGTCTGTCCGGCACTCAAGAGTTCTCTGGCTGTCAGGTATTGAAACACTTGCATCAGCATTGGGTCCGGCATCAGCTCCCAGCAACTGATATCACCATTTTCCCCCTCCATGCTGCAGCCACTAGTGTGGTGCTGAAAAAAACAAATTTGCAGATATTAATTTCACTTTAAGCCACCAAGAAGTTTATGTTCCAGTTAATTTGTTCAGAGCCTTGCTTAAATTAATAAGTTGACCAAATAAATAGTCCTAACAGTAACAACAATAGAATTAATTAGAGGCAAGGTTAGGCTCGGGTCTGACCATTTGCTTCTCTTGACTTAACATTCCAAGGCAACTTGCAAGCCTTCACTAACTTAGCCAACAAGGAGAAAACTAAAATAGAATCATGTGACAACAATCAAACCTAGGTCTAGCAGCAATGTGTTTTATAATTAAGGAATTGCACAATAACACTGCAGATACAAAGTTGAGTAAACAAGTGATGTTGCTATTGTTGACACCTCAGATAGGCTAGGCTATGTTCTCTCTGGCATACCCAGCCCACCTTTCACTAAATTGTACACCGTACTACAGTTTTAAGAGTAAAAACAACCAGGACTTAACTTAGCATAATTCACTTGGTACTCTGATACTTTTTAAAAACTGCTAGAGAACAAATGCACAATATTTTAGTTTGATAAGTAGGCATTGTTATATAAATAAAATATCGCTCCAAAAATTTAAACCCCTTAACTTAACTAAAAATAGTAGGCCTATGTTAAAATTGATGTCAATTGCTAATAAATTAAGTAACTGACATTACTAGCACAAGTTATTCATTGTCATCCAAACCTTTGGGAGATAACAAAGAGTCAATAATAATATATAATAAAACTATTATGTTATGAGTCAAATATTACTCAGTCAACAATACCTTTGATTGGACGCGGAGGGATGAAGATCAATGAATTAAACTTAAAAATATATGTACAAAAATAGCTAACACAGAATATTTTTATACATACATACTTGTGTTTTCTTCTGTAGCAGTCAGCTGACAGCTGATATTTGTAAACATGCCAAAGTAGTCCTGATCCTCCAAATAGCAATAGGCTATCAGCTGTAAGAACACGCCACTTAAGACCGATGATCAAGTTGAGGAAATTATACGATTGAGTGTGACTATAAGAGTATGTTTTCTGTGCTATAAGTCATCGACTATAAATGGTACAAGTAGACTTCTCATCATATTTTAACATTTTAATTTTATCAGAGAAACTTTGATATCAGACTCCCTTTCGACCGATAACAAACCAAATACCAAACGTCTACATACCAATTCGTTAATACCAAGCCAAAAATGTGGTTGGGATTCCACTATAAACTGTAGGTCCCTTTAAGGTATTTGTGTATTTTTTTTTTTAGAATGCAAAAGCTTGGTAACTGGGCTATGAAAATATTGATTCAAATATTTAATGTACAAAACTATATTTTCGATTTTAAACACTGTTTTGGTTATTCCATATGTTTTCTTGTCAATCTTTTAATAAATTTATGTGCATAAATTTAAATATAAATGAATTATACACGAATTAATGAGCTCACCTGTCTGCCATGTTATCTTATGAGACGTCTGGCACTAGAAAACACTACTACCTTGCAACATTGCCAATTCTACCAGGCCGCGGCCTGGGAGTTAAAGGTGGCCGTGCCTCCGACGTCCCCTCGCCAATATCGATAACGCAATATTGATAACGCAGTCTATCCGACATTGTCGGTCAACGACGCAGCACACAAGTATCAAGTAAGTAAGTATCAAAAAAAAAACTTAAAATAGTTGGCACATGCAAAAATAACCATAACCAATTCGCTCAGAAAACCTTTGGACTCTTTGACAATGTATGGCCGAAAGAGTTTCAAGTTGTGGATTTAAGATTTAGGTAATGCAATTTATTGTCGACTTTACCTAAATAAAATTAGTGTTTTTATTTGATTTTAAGAATTTAATTTTTTTTAGGTTTTAGCATAGATAACACAATCCTTAAGGTCAATAACAAAATACCTATTAGATCGGGTTTCTATATAAATATTCAACTCAAATACTGTAATTATCTAATCTATGATCTAATATGGGAATGCTTCTAGGCAAATGATATAGTATAGACAAAACATATAGTTTAGAGTCGTATGTTGACTTAAAACATTTTTAAGAATTTAGAATATCTTGCTGATTCTAACATTAAATTAAAATTTAAGAAGATGTTAAAGGAATATTTATCTGAAGCAGCCTATTTTAAAGTAGAAGATCTGTTCAATTAGGCCTATTATTGTGTTTTCTACCCATTTTGACGTCCATGTCGCAGGAGCGATGCTAGTTGGACATCATCAAGCATCAAGTATCAAGTTAATATTGTCTTGTGGGTTTTTATAAATAATAGCAAACTAATGCCCCTTCAAATTTACAAAATTCGATAATTCTGTTTGCTTCATGAACACTAATTTGGATTGCAAAATGCTGATCAAGAAAGAAAGAGTCGCCTCGGCCTGTCTTAGCCATTAGCCACATCTTAATCTTCACAGTCGTGGAGACCGGAGAGTTGTAAATTTCTTGGAAGGGGTTTGTTGTATTTATGTGTGAGTGTGTATGGTTTTTTTAGAGGCGTGTTACATTGAATTGAATTGAAAATGTCTTTATTCATATAATATACAGTGGTATATATTGAACGGCGTCATTATGCTAAATTAAAGCTAACAACTTTATTTCATTTACAATTCCTCCATAAGCAATAAGGTACCTATTTAAACCAAAAGTTGATCGTAAACAAAACAAAAAGTATGGTTGTCAGAGTTCATGAAATGTATATAATGGGTTATTTGTCAAATAATACAGTTTAAAATTTTTCTTAAAAAATTTTACATCATCAACGTTTCTCAATTCCATTCCACAGGTAGCCGTAGTAAAAACTTAGCACCCGCATTTTAGGTTTTTTATTATAAAACTCTAGAATGTGGAAATCAATGGCATTTTGATTTCTATTTCTTGTAAAATAGGAATGTCTGTCACCTAACCTGGGAACCAGATTGTTTATACTTAGTTTTTTTTTTTTAACATGAAGTGCTGTGTAAAAAACATATAAAGTGCCGTTGAACCGAATCACCAAAATTCAAATTCATTATGATTCTTATCACCCTTTTTTTAAGAATGAAATTCTATCCAAGTTGAAGAATTGAAGATTGAAGAATCCATCCATTGTTGTGGTCCTGGTGAAATAATTTAAATCGTACTATGGCCTGTTTAAGAGGTATTGTGTAGGAGGTAATGTTCAATGTATGTGTTCAATGCCACAGCAGCCGAGCAAACTCTTTTAGCGAATTTCCCTATAGGGAAGTAGCTATTACCGTAGGTGGCACGGTAAGACCTAGACCCGGGACCGATTTACTTTTTCATTTTGATGTCCCCAGAGGCCAAAAACACCATTCGTTCAAATTTATATATATATATATATATAGACTTATATATATATATATATATATACGTCCGTGAACGCGATAACTTGAGTATTTTTTGTCCGATTTTGATGAAATTTGGTTTAAAGGTGTAAAGCGGGATAAACTTGAATGAGTTCGCGAACCAGCACGATCGGACCATGGGAACGGGGCTTTACGGGGGGTTTTATGGGGTAAAAATTGGTTTTTCTCACTTTTGACCCTCAAAACACAAAATATCCCGATTTCTCTTTAGACCTTTTTAAACAGCTTAAAAAAACAAATAATTTAGTATATAAAAGTATATTTGTTTGATTATTAGTAACGGAGAAAATTAAAAAAATTGTAAATTTAAAATTCCCATGTTATTCTTATGGAGAAATTGTCAAATGTTGTAGTTTGCTTGTTTATGGATATATTTTGATCAATCTTGGCAAATTTATTTATTTTTTACTAAGCTATCAATATTTTACTCAAAAACACACTTTTTTAGTTTCCTTGTAGCAGCAAACCTAGGTACTCGTTAATCCTAATAATGTTATTAAAATATATTTAACTGAAAATCAATTCAGACAAATGGAAATTCGCTTAGTCAGCAGGTTTGCTGCGGCGGGGGTATTTTCTTTAGCTTAGCATCCCTGCAACATTTTTAGATTTGCTAAGTTAACTACCCAATTGTGCATTTCAGAAGACAATACTAACCCGAAGGAAGCAACCAAAATGAAAAAGTTATATATAAAATATCGGGTGGGTTCCATAATATCGACAACCGTAGAAATTGATCGAAACTGAATTATTCCCAGTTTGTCGACACTGGAATATTCCCACTTAACCGACATCCCAAATAACCGACGTCGCAAATGATCGACACCACAAATTGTTGACATCCCATATTGTCGACAATGAAATAGTTTCACTATGTCGACACTGAAATAGTCCCAGTATATCGACAAGCTCCCGTTCTTCGGAGCTACTCTTGAAAAGGAGTTGTTCTAATTCATCGTTCAGTTCCTCAACTCACGACGAGTCGCAATATTTGATTCTGAACTGAATTCCGACGGACATCTTCAAGCTGGTTATTTATTGACTAAGACTAAAAACTTTTAAGTAGCCTATATTGTAAATATTTATCTTTTTTATTTCTTTACTTTTTTACAAGAAAATAGATGACTCGAGTGTTACAAACAATAGTTTTCAAGGAATAATGTAAAATAAGTTAATTTTTATAGGATAAAAAACGTAATCAACATGATAACTTCATAACATTAGTCCTACCAGACACTAACTTAGGTAAGTCACCAACAAGAACCTAAGATACAGCTTATTCCTAGGCTAATTCTGGATCATCAAACAATATTGTAGCAAATGTTTGAATAGGCATTATCCCTAGGCTATTAGGATAGTCACGCCGATCTCTTTTTCCCACTGACCCAGTGTCAACTTTAAGAATTTGTTTATGTAACAAAACTTGCTGTTGGCAAAAAAATCGCATGAAGGTTTACTAATCGAATCGATAGTTTCAATCTATATTAGCATAGCCCAGTTAAGAAACTGTACCCGTATTTTGAATATTTCATTCCTTTAGTTAGGTTAGGTTTTACCCTAACTAACCAAACTTAATATTAGGCCTAGGGGCTTTACTTTACGTCCTACACTCATTCAAATGAAAATATCGATCGATATATCGATTAATCGTTTGTATCATTCGATATATGGTTTGGTAAGTTAGGTAAGGTTAACCTAACGTAGGCCTAACTAACGAAACGGTATATCGAATGAAACAATCGAACAATCGATAGTTTCATTCGAATGAGTGTAGGACGTAAAGTAAAGTGCAGCCGGCCTAGGCCTAAGTTTATCAAATGAAATAATCAATATGACTGGGACGGGTGGCGCTGTCCTGTAATCCAGCTACTAGGAGGTCACGAATTGTGGATATTTATAGGCATGCACTGTGGATTCGACACTCCCTGGTGTGGATGAACGTCCACACGAGTGAATACTTACTACGACTCTCCCCAGTACTATCCTGATAATTAGACCAATTCGTATAGTAGGCCTATACCAAGGCAATAATGTGGTTCGGATTCCACTATAAACTGTATGTCCCTTAGTTGTCATTAGCTGTTTGGGCTATTAATTAACAGTTGTGTCTAAGGAATGTCGGTCTTAGTCACTAACAAGACTACAGGATCGCTCCACTCATCCTACACTCATCTCCATTCATACTTGGCTTAAAATACCTACTTTGTATGGTCGTCAAGTAATAAGAAAGAAAGTGGCCTATTAAAGAAATACCTTCATTGGAATGAGTGTAGGACGTAAACTTAAGTGCTTTCAAATATTCTAGAGCTGACTTGGATTATATCATTCATTGCTGATGACTTCAATGTTAATTTTATAGATGATCCTGGAGCAAAGGCTGTAATTTGACCTGAACCCAAATTGGTCTTTATTTTAAATACTGTATGTTAAGAGGACTGACCTTTCTGGACGACATTGCTATCGACATCACTGCAGATGAGAGAGAGACCAGAGTTGTGTACCCTGGAGGCA